GGAACCTGAGGGCATATGGGGAGAAGCGTAAGAGAGACTGGGATGAAGAGTTGGACTGGATCGCAGCAGGATACAGGTTCGGGAAGCAGGCCTCCCTGGAGGACTATTCCCCATATAGTCTGCTGTTCGGGGGGGAGCCAATCCTGCCAGTAGGAGCACCGAAGGTGCTAACGGATGTGGTGCGAGTCACGGGAGCAGACCAGTGGGTGGCACTAGCAGAGGCACGTGCACGGTACATGCGGGAGATGCTCCCTGCAGCGCTCAAAAACCTGCACACGGCGCAGCTGAGGGATGCACACAGGTATGAGCAGCGGCAGCAACAGGGGGGCAGGAAGGCCAAGCCAGCAGTGATGGAAGGACAGGAGGTGTACCTGCGCAGGGCAAAAGGAGATACGCTGGACGTGGGGCTGGGTACGGAGAAATGGAAGGTAAAGGACGTAAGGGGATCCGGAGTGCTGGTGCTGGAGAATGAGAAGGGGGAGAGGACTGTGGATCATCAGACCAATGCCGCAGCAGTGAAGGGACAGAGGCCTCAGCACGAGGGTCCTGTGACACGTGCGCGGGCAGCCCAAGCACGAGCACAGGAGGGGGCAGGTAGTGGCTGAGGCAAAAGCACGCAGAGTCTGCAGGCAGGCAGGGAAGTACGGGAAGAACAGGAAGAAGAAGGGTAAGAAGTCAAGGGAGGAAGAAGCCAAGAGACGAGGTAAGGAAGAGGAGATCTCCGACAGCTGTCAACAAATATAGTGGCAAAGAACAATATATTCTGTTGCTTGCTAGAATGGGTGTAGAAGGGTGTAGGTTGGGGTTATGCCATTCGGGTGTAGGGGATTCCTTGGGCCAGGGGAATGACGCGAAGTTGTTGGCATGGGGAATTGGGGGCATTGGGAAAAGTGACAAGGCGCCTCGAGGGACAGGAAATCTACATTGACCAGTAAGGGCACAAGGCGACCCGAACCCAACTCAAGGTGATGGCAATTGCCAAAACTCAGAGTGGGAATAAAGTAGCCTAGCCTAGCCAATTGAGCCTGTTCTCTCGCTATGTTTGCCTCATAGAGTGGATTGAAGTTGCCGGTTTAAGCTAACTCCAGCTAGGTAGCTCTAAGCCACTGTGGGCAGCCATGGGGTGGGAGCACGATTCTCTCTGGTAGTGGCTGAGGCAAAAGCACGCAGAGTCTGCAGGCAGGCAGGGAACTACGGGAAGAACAGGAAGAAGAAGGGTAAGAAGTCAAGGGAGGAAGAAGCCAAGAGACGAGGTAAGGAAGAGGAGATCTCCGACAAGAGAAGCGTTGCTTTCCAAGGGTTAGGGGCTGCAAACAAGGTCAAGAAGTGAGCAAGTGAGGCCAAGTAGGCACAAGACCTAGCATAGCACAGAAGCGCTGATGATCACAAGGCGGAAGGGCCTTGGTAAAGATATCAGCAGTGTTGGCCTCAGAGGCCACGTAGGTGAGGCGGAGCTGACCACGCTGCTGCAGCTCAAGAGCCAGGAAGTAGCGAAGAGCAATGTGCTTCGTTCTGTGCTCCAGTCTGTGCTCCCAACACAAGGCCAGCATGGCCTTGTTGTCTACGTACAGAAATGGAGGAGAACGAGGCGGCTCTCCTAGGTCAGTCAGCAGGTACGTGAGCCAGCGTAGCTCCTGTGCAGCCATGGCCCCCGCGTAGATCTCAGCCTCACAGCGGGAGGTGAGAACAGAAGACGAGCGGGTAGACCGCCACGAAACAGAGCCGGAGCCAAGGCTGAAGGTGTAACCTTGTGACGACCGCTATGTCGGCTGGTCGTCAGCCCAAAAAGCGTCTGCGTGACCTGTGAGGACCACTCGACGTCGCCCTCCAAGCACTAGCCCCATGCCCGACGTACTGCACACGTAGCGCAACACCCTCTTCGCTGCAGCCATGTGCTCTGGTCGGTGTCTCCCAGGAGCAACATAGCGTGCCAAGATGCTAAGAGGGTATGCAAGGTCAGGTCGTGTACAGGTCATCAGGTACATGAGGCAGCCAACAAGCTCTGGGTATGGGCCACTCGGCTCTACGGACTCATCCGAAGGCAGAGCTGAGAGCAAGTGGCGAGTAGACAGAGGAGTGGCCTGAGGCGAGGAGTACGTGAAGCCGAAGCGCTGAAGGACCTGCTGCACCATGTGTGACTGAGTCAGGGTAATGGTGCGCTGTGCTCTGTCCCGGGTGATCTGCAAGCCAAGGTAGCTGCGCAGTTCACCCAAGTCTGTGCACGTGTGTCTCTTCTGCAGCTCGGACTTCACGAGGGCGAGTCCAGCATTGTCAGCAGTGGCAAAGACCAAGTCGTCGACGTACATGAGGATGTAGAACGGCGGCAAAGAGGTGTCGGTGTGCTGAAACGGCGACGGGTTGGCTGTAGAAGGAGCAAACCCAAGAGCCGCAAGTGTAGTCCTCAGTGTGTCGTGCCACTCACGGGGCGCCTGGCGGAGACCGTAGACTGGCTGCCTGAGGCTCCATTGGGTACCAGGAGGAAACGACCCAGTGAAGCCAGGTGGGCGGCGCAGCCAGATCTCCTCGTGCAGGCTGCCCTGCAGGAAAGCTGTGCTGAAGTCAAGAGAGTGAAGCTCGTAGTTGCGCTGAGCGGCTATGTGCAGCAGCACCCGAAGAGTGGTCATCTTCGGGGTGGGAGAGAAGGTCTGAAAGTAGTCAACTCCCTGCCGCTGACTGAAGCCTCGAGCCACGTAACGCGCCTTGAAGACACGCGGAGTACCCAGCAGCCGCTTCACCCTGAAAATCCACATGCCACTGACGATGTTCGCCCCAGGTGGGGGAACCTCGTCAACGTAGGGGCCTGTGGACTTCCAGGAAGCCATCTCTGCATCCATGGCTGACTGCCACTAAGAGGAGTAGGGACCCTCGATCGCCTCAGCGTACGATCGAGGTGTCGGGATGTATGGTGCATCCGGGTCTCCCTCAGGGGCAATCACCGTGGACACGAGATGAGGCAAAGCAGCGGCAAAACACTGGAACTCCTCGACGGACGGAGGAAAGACAGACTCGGACTCAGCAACAAGACTAGTGGCGTAGTCTAGACGACAGCGAGCAGCGAAGTCGACAAGCTCAGCCACTAAGGCAGACACAGCAGTGGACTCAAAGGAAGGGTCAGTGACAGCAGTAGCCACGAGACGCGTGACAGTAGGACTGGCAGCACGAAGAGAGTCAGACTCAGGGTCACGAAGGACAGGAAGAGAGGACTTTGGAGGAGACGGCAACGGGACACGTAGAGGAGCAGTGGAAGGACGCAATGCCATCTGGTGTGTGCCTCGAACCGCAGGAGGACGCGGAGCACGACGACTAGTGCGAGCAGTGCGAACAGGCGACGCAGGACGAGACGCAGGCTCACGTCGCTCAGCAAGACCTCCAGTATGACCAGTGTAGGGAGAAGGAGCAGGAAGAGGGGAGGCGGGCTGTAACTGTGACTGCGACTGGACGGGCAGTGGACACTCTAAGGGAGGAGCAGGACCAGTAGAGGGCGGGCGACCAAGAACCTGCTCAAGGAGCGGAACGAAGTACGGCCTCGGCCGCGTAGCGTCTCCAGAACCAGCAGGGACGGCACCAGTACCCCCAACAGCAGCACCAGCGCCAGCCGCACCTCCAGCTCCAACAGCGTCAGCTCCAGCACCCTCAGACGCACCAGCGCCAGCAGAAACACTAGCGCCAACACCCCCAGTAGCTCCCGCTCCAGCAGCTCCAGTAGTACCAACTCCAGCAGGACCGGCAGCTCCAGCACCGCCAGCAGCTCCAGCAGGACCAACTCTAGGAGCTCCAGCAGCACCCCTAGTCCCAGCAGCTCTAGTACCACCAGTACGAGCACCTCAAGAACCAGCAGCAACAGTAGTGCCTCCAGCTCCAGCAGCACGACTCCAGCGCCGGGCAAACCACTCACGCAGCTCCTGCGGAGAGAGTGGCTCCCGCCTCGACGAAGCACCACCGGCGGCCACACGAGCAGACCCAGCGCCCCCACGCTCCGCACCCCCAGGCTCCGCACCCCCAGACTCCGCACCCCCAGACTCAGCACCCCCAGGCTCAGCACCCCCAGTCTCAGCACCCCCAGGCTCAGCAACCCCAGACTCAGCACCCGCAGGCTCAGCACCTCCAGACCCAGCACCCGCATGCTCAGCACCTCTAGCAGCACCAGAGTCAACAGCTACCTCGACAGGCTCGACTGCGTCTACCTGGGACACACCTGACGAGGCAGGACCCTGAGGGGGGAGGGGGTCTACCGGGGGTGGAACTGACACAAGGAAGAGCGGCGGTGGGGGAAGGGGCGCAGCGCGGTAGGGGAAGAGACGGTAGTAAGGCACCGACTCGTCAAAGGTGACCTCCTGGGAGGACAGAACACGGCGCGAGGTGGGGTGGTAAAACTGCCACCCAGGCGCGTCAGGGCGGAAGCCGAGGAAGACGCAGGTCACAGCACGGGGGGGCAGCTTGTCCGCAGACAAGTCGCGGACAAACGCCCGAGATCCCTAGACCCGAAACGCAGACGCATCGCCAACCTTCCCCGTCCACCGCAAGGTGGGGGAGGTCTCAGGCAAGGAGACCCGGGGCTGAAGGTTGAGCTGATGCACCGCGCACTGAACCGCAAACGGCCACTGAAAATGGGGGGCAGCCGCATGGATCATGGACGTACGAGCGACGTCCATGACCATGCCAATGCGGCGCTCAGCAATCCCATTTTGCTGTGGAGAGGCCGGAAGCGTGAAGGTCTGGCGGATGCCCTGTGCCCGACAGAAGGCTCCCAGACGGGCAGAGGAAAACTCCCCGCCTCTGTTAGAGTGCAGACGCAGAATAGGAAAGTCGGAGCCGAAACTCTCTCTGAGCTGGAGACGAGCTGCGCGGATCCAGTCGATCAACACCTCAGTGACGTCACCCTTGCTGCGCAAGGGGAAGACTGTGGTGTAACGCGAGTAGTCGTCAACCACCAACGGGAAGTAACGCTCGTGTCCCTGTCCACGGACGCGGGCGGGGCCCCACACGTCCATGTGGAGAGTCTACAGCGGAGCCTCTGTCGGAGGAAACTCGGAGGAGTGAGGGGCGGCGCGCAGTCGCCCCTCGACGCAGGGGACGCAAGTAGGGGCAGGCCCCGGAGGTAGGGGAGGGAGAGACCGGGGGAGACCAGAGACAAGGACACGGGAGGCCATGCCTCGGAGACGAGGCAGGGAGGGGTGACCAAGGCGGTGGTGCCAGAGGAGAGTCTGGTGGGACAGGAGACGACACGAGCAGGGAGCAGACTCAGGACCAGACCTGGACGCTGCAGCGAACACCTGACTCGACGCAGCTACCTGGCCAGACTCAGCAGCCGGAGGAGACTCAGTAGTAAGGGTGTACAGGCTCGACCCTGGCCGACGGGTCAACGTGGCGAAGTGTCGGCCTGTCCGAGCACACGTGCAGTGGGTCACCCGCTGACTCGCAGGAGTGAACTGGTCAACCCCCCTATCCTATAGGTCCGCTCCACTCACCAAGTTTGTAGAGAACGAGGGGAGGTAGAGACTTGACAGGGTTCCAAAGGGGGCTGCCGGGCACGGTAAGACAGTGGAGAAGCTAGCAAGGACAGGACCCCCAGAGGGGTCCGCCAGGGAGACTGCAACCGGCCGACTGAGCGGCGTAAAAGTGGTGCGGTCTCGAAAGAAGGAGCGGGACGCACCCGAGTCAAGGGTGAAGGTGTGTAAGGCCTGAGCTGACGTAGTACCTGAGAGAGCAGACTCACCAGCACCTGGGGCAGCAGACGCACTAGCACCTAGAGCAGCAGCCTCACCAACACCTAGAGCAGTGGCCTCAATGCCCGGGTCAGGCGGTACACACAGGTAACAGTCACCCTCAACACTAGTAGTCACAGAATACATGGCAGCAAGGATAGCATCATAGTCAAGATCAAAGATGGCAACCCCCGCCCTAGACAGATCTCCCCAACGAGGGATCTCTCACGCCTCAGGGAACTGGCGATGCCACGCATCCGTCAGGCGACCGAAGCAGCGCTGGGTGGAGTGCGGGCCCCCGCACTGCTCACCAGCTCGGTCGCCGGTACGGAGGACGTAGGTGCAGGGACCAGTACCCCCACCGCGCTGACGCGCAGCGTACCACTCACGAAGCTGCTGAGGGGACAGAGTCACACCACTCCGCTGCTGCTGGCGCGAACCACCACCTGACCCACTCCTCTGCGCAGAGTCGCGACCCGCTCCACCACCGCCGCCGCCACCGCCTCCGCCGCCTCCTCCACCTCCGCCTCCTCTGCCACCTCCGCCGCCTCCGCTCCCTCCGCCACCACCGCCGCCTCCTCCGCCTCCACTGCTGCCGCCGCCGCCGCCACCCCCGCCACCACTCCCACCACCACCCCCACCCCCTCCACTGCCTCCACCACCACCTCCACCGCCCCCGCCAGCCCCTCCAGCGCCCTTGCCCCACTTGCCCTTGCAGGTGCGGCGTCTCCCGCTAGGGGCAGACGCAGCGCCGACCGACTCGAAACCAACGAGGTCGGCCGTAGCAGCAGAAGCAACAGAGGGCAAGAGGGGGGAGGGGGAACACCCCTCTAAGACGGGGGTGCGAGGGTCACCACGAGAGGCTCCTACAGCGACTATGCTCGTCTCTGCTGCTAGGAGGCCCTTCTTGAGGAGGTCAACGGTGAGAGTGGTGGGGCAAACTGAGAGGAAGTTGTCCCTGACTACGCGGAGAGAGTCAGGGAGCCGGGTGACTATGTAGTAGAGGGTGATGTACATGGGGGGGCGGGGGGGTTCTTGGCGCAGAACTCAGCAGCAAGCGCAGTGCGGTAGCGAGTGTCACCAGTGCGGAGGTGCATAATGAGGTCAGCGACTGTGGGAAAGGCAGCAAGGTCAGGGAAGAGGTACGGTAGCATGAGGCGGCTCAGTGCAGAAGTGGCAGGGGAAGAGTAGCGTGCAACTATAGCGTCATACAAGGTCTGAGCACTCTTGTACTGGCTAAAGTGTGCACGCTCAGTGGTCGGTAAGTGGCGACGCACAGCAAGACGGGCAGCAGCATCGCGTGTCGCCCACTGTGAGCGAACAGTGCTGTCAGCAGTAGCAGGCGGGGCAGGGGAGGCACCAGAGGTGAGGTCGAACAGAGAGAGGCCGTCTGCCCTATCGCACTGGAGGAACAGCTGGAGGTCATCGACCCAGACCTCAAAGTCAACGGCACGGCCCTCAGCATCAAAAGTAAGGACACTGGGGGTAGCCATGACTGCAGTTGCCTAGTAGGGAGTGAGCTCACCAGTAGGAACAGTAGGGGATCGACAGTAGGGCGGCTCGGCGGTTGGGCGGCTCGGCTGCTAGGCGGCTCGGCTGCTGGGCGGCTCGGCGGCTCGGCTGGTGGGCGCCTCGGCTGCTCGGCGGCTCGGCTGCTGGGCGGCTCGGCTGCTGGGCGGCTCAGCTGCTTGGCAGGAGGGCGGCTCGGCTGCTGGGCGGCTGAGCTGCTCGTCAGGTGGGCGGCTCGGCTGCAGGGCGGCTCGGCTGCTCGGCAGGTGGGCGGCTCGGCTGCTGGGCGGCGCGGCTGCTAGGCAGCTCGGCTGCTGGGCTGCTCGGCGGCTCGGTCGCTGGGCGGCTGAGCGGTGACAGGGCCAGTAGAGGTGGCGACGTGGCCGCTAGGGGAGGGCGACGGGGCCGCAGGTGGCGGCGAGGCCGCAGATGGCGGCTGCGTGGCCGCAGTTGGCGGCGACGGGGCCACAGGTGGTGGCGACGGGGTGGCCGCAGGTGACGGCGACGCGGCCGCAGGTGACGGCGACGGGGCCGCAGGTGGCGGCGACGGGGCCGCAGAGGGGCCGCAAGGGGCCTAGACGGGGCCGTAGAGGGGCCGCATGGGGCCTTGACGGGGCCGCAGAGGGGGCCGCAAGAGGCCTAGACGGGGCGGCGACGGGGCCGTAAGGGGCCCAGACGGGGCGGCGACGGGGCGGCGACGGGGCCGTAAGGGGCCTAGACGGAGCGGCGACGGGGCCGTAAGGGGCCTAGACGGGGCGGCGACGAGGCCGTAAGGGGCCGTAAGGGCGCTGCGAGGGGAGCCGACGGGCGTCGCGGGGGGGCCGTAAGGGGCCGTAAGGGCGGCACGAGGGGCCGTAGAGGGCGGCGCGAGGGGCCGTAAAAAGCAGCGCGAGGGGCCGTAAGGGGCCGTGAGAGGGGCCGCTAAAGGCGACGCGAAAGGGGCCGTGAGAGGGCGCGACGGTAGGGAGAGCACACAGAGCGCGACTCGGGCAGGAGCGAAGCGCGCTCCGGGCAGAAAAAAAAAATATCGTGGTGGGCCCTAGGAATCGTTCCCACTAGGGAACCTGCTCGATACCATGATAAGAAAGGAGGAATGAATGCATTGAGCAGAATGAGGAGTACAAGTAGTAAACCCTAAAGTGTTGTACCCCATATGAACTGCCCCACTACAGCCTACACAGACTATAGCATATATGCCTGACATGCATCACGTAATAAACAGTTACGCATTCATAGTACATCATTTTGGCAACTCATGAAATATAGGTTCAGTCAAAGCAAACTAGGAAATGAGAAGGAATGTGGTTCGGCACGTGGTAAATTGACGTGGCAAATACATTGTAGTCAGTCACTTCACTTAGCTTCTTTTTGTCAAGATATGTGGCTAGGGTGTAGCCTTAGGAACCATGTTGGGGGTAGAGTGTGAGAGAGTTGGCAATGAAAGAGGACTTCACTATAGAGCTAAGGGTACAAATATGATAGGAAAGGGGGTAATCCACCAAACAGAATGTGATAACTACACTACTGCTATATCTACATGCAGTTACAATAATATAACTCTGACATCCCCCCTTAACTGCATGCAGGAATAGCAAAGCATAAATCACAACCCGGAAGTGTACTCAAAGCATTAGCACGCAAGAGCAATGACAACCAGTGCAGCAGTGGCAGAAACAACAGCAGAAACCCCTTAGCCAATACAGAAACGAAAGAAAGGTGCATGTGGCGCAGGTCGCCTGGAGAGCGGCGTGCGGCGGCAACAAGCGGCGGCACAGCAGGCTCAACGGCAGCACCTGCCGCTCAACAGCAGCAAACGAAAGAGACGAATTAAGTGGCAACAGGGGCTGCAGCTGGAGATGCCACAGGAGCAGGGGGTGGCAGTTGCAAATGCAGGGCTGCTGCTTCTGCCACTCTCTCTCTCATACCCTCCTTTATCCCCCCTTACCCTCTCTCCCCCCCCCCTCCCCTCAGCAACAATTGCTGCAGGGAGAGAGGAAGAGGGAAGGGAGGGAGGAGCGGCAGGCTCCTCACACCCGCCCCCTCCCCCCAACCCCCCCCCCCACGACGGAAGGGAAGGGCGGAATCACCCACTGCCGGCGCTGGCGGTCGCGTTGGCGCTAGCGCTGGCGGCCGTCGCAGCTGCTGGCGCTGGCGCTGGCGGTCCGCGCAGGCGCTGGCGCTCGCGGCTGGCTGCAGCGTTGGCGCTCGCGGCTGGCCGTGGCGCTGGCGTCCTCGCTGGCGAAGGCGGATCGCGGGGCGACGGGGGGAGCGTGACGGACGAAAAGGGCGCACGGGCGCGACGCGAAACGAAGGGCCTGCAGAAAGCGAAAAACGGGACCCGCGGGGTTCGTCCACGGGGCGATTCGGGGGACCCGCGGGGCGCATTACGGGCGGCACGACGGGTGGGCCCATGATCATTAAAACAAAATAGGTCCTCAGGAGAAATTCCTGCTCTGTACCATGTCAAGATATGTGGCTAGGGTGTAGCCTTAGGAACCATGTTGGGGGTAGAGTGTGAGAGAGTTGGCAATGAAAGAGGACTTCACTATAGAGCTAAGGGTACAAATATGATAGGAAAGGGGGTAATCCACCAAACAGAATGTGATAACTACACTACTGCTATATCTACATGCAGTTACAATAATATAACTCTGACACTTTTCACTAGATTCTTTTCATCCTTCATTTTTTTAAGTAAAGAGGATGAAAAAAAAAATTGCACATAACGATCGTAATAGGTTGCTTCGCAACGCAAAAATCGGACAAGGGGCCACGTTTTTTAATCAATGCATACGTGTAACGTATTATGCATGTGCAAAATATAACTTGTCAACATTGTGAGCGATGCTGACGGTTTGCCATCATGCGATGGAGGGCTTAATGTTACGTTGAATGCGAACCGACGCACAGGTATGATCCACCTCCGTGCTGCAACGATAGTGGCCTTCCTTCCCACGATAGGTTATGTATTTATATGTGTACGCATATACATATACATACATGTATATATATGTACGGTCTTCCACTTGGTTAGATGCAGTTGTACGTGGCCTCGGTGTGTGGGGCCAATGCCTAGGACCATAACGATGCTTGTCATTTGTGCTTTTTCTTGCTCTCCCTCTCTCTCTCTCTCTCTCTCTCTCTCTCTCTCTCTCTCTCTCTCTCTCTCTCTCTCTCTCTCTCTCTCTCTCTCTCTCTCTCTCTCTCTCTCTCTCTCTCTCTCTCTCTCTCTCTCTCTCTCTCTCTCTCTCTCTCTCTCTCTCTCTCTCTCTCTCTCTCTCTCTCTCTCTCTCTCTCTCTCTCTCTCTCTCTCTCTCTCTCTCTCTCTCTCTCTCTCTCTCTCTCTCTCTCTCTCTCTCTCTCTCTCTCTCTCTCCCTCTCTCTCAAGCAGTCGTGTATTGATAGGGCTCATAAGGTTCAGGCATGGCAAAGCGGTGGAACCTAACCAGTCTAGGTAAACCATGCAAGCAACCAAACAAGCAAGCAAACAAACAACCAGGCAACCAGACTGGAAGTTGTGCTAGCAGGCAGATCGAGAACAGATAAGACACCCGCTCAACCAAACCAGGCCCCCAGAGAGACCCCCTCAGATCCCAGCATCTCCCCGCCCTGTGGCCGCCCCCTGTGTCCTCACCCCACTCCTTGCTGCTCTGGCAGGAGCCTCTCGCTCCTCATATTCATCCGTGGTCATCTGCCACGGGTCCCCAAGCCGTGGGGCCCATGGGTCAGCCGCTGTCTGAGGGAAGGCCGCTTCTGCCGCGCGGTTGGACTTGGACAGAAGTGATATGGCCTCGCTTCGCTGCAGCATCACCGACCATCTCTGGCGGTAGTGAGCATTGAGCCGGGCTGCTGTGGTGGTAAGCCGGCCCTGCGTGAACTTCGTCTTGGCGGCATTGGTGGCCAGCATGCGGAGGAATTGAAGCGTGTCAGCTGCCATCGCGCCGTAGGTCTCAACGGCAAGCCCGAAGAAGCCGGCGTAGCTGGGCCGCCCCTCATATTCCCGGTGTTTCCTCTGGGAAGCTTCCTCTGCTGCCCACCCCGATGGCCTACGTGCCCTTGTGTCCCTGTTTTGCAGCACTGGATCAGTAACAGTGACGTTAGTCACCCATGTTTCGCCCGATTCCTGGTCCCGCATGGCCAGGTCTGCCCGTTTCTTAAGGACTGGGGGTGAGAAGGCGCAGGACTCGTGGAACACCTTGAAGCCCGCCTCGTTCGCCATCCGCAGCGCCGCGTAGACAAGTGCGTTGTGGGTTCTGACCACATCCCCACTGTCCTGGCAGCGCAGCAGGTGGTTAGGCAGGCTCTTGTCCAGGATAGCCGAGTTGCTTCGCTTGCATGGGCAGACCTCAACGACCGGGAGCTCCATGCCTAGGCTGAGGCCTAGGGCCAACGAGAACTGACCAGGGGAGATGCTAAGGTCGGCTCTTGTCGGCACAGCATGGAGCCAATCTCCTGCTCCCGCCCCTCTCAAATTGATGAGTCGTATCGCGTGGCCCCTGTTGGTGCCCGGCCGGTCGACTACATTGTCACCTAAGAGGTCTACCGCCCTCTGATGATTGATGAGCTTAGAGAGGCGCAGCTGCAGACTGCCCGTGCCCGTGTTCTCTGTTCTACACTGACCTAGCGCTGACTGTGCCAAGGCTGGGAGGCTCGCCTCCAAGGAGGTAAGGGGGTTGCTGTAAGGGGGCGGTGGGGACCACTCATGGGAGAGCAGAGTTGTTGCGCGGTGGAGCAGGCAGTCCGTAGGTAGATTCAGCTGCAGCAGTAGGGAATGGGCGGCTATGACCGAGGCTGTGTAGGCGGCAGGGGCCTCCGAGCATGGGTCAATGATTCCCAGGCTGCCTAGCCTGATTAATAACGTCGCTTGCCGCCATAGGAGGCTCTACTCCAGCTCCGACGTTGGGATTCGGAGCTTCGCCGCAGTGAGTGCTGATCCCACCAAGCCTTCAATCCACTCCCTCCACTCCCTCCTACTTTGAGTCGA